GCGCTGACGCGACAATGGCATGGACAAATATTTTGCCGCCAGCTTTTCCTGAAAAATCCGTAAATTTTTAGCAGCCTAAACTTTTTCAGTTAAAATTTTTTTTAAAGAATATATTTCTCCAAAAAATGGTATATTTTACTAAATAAAGCGTCCAAAAAAAGAGATAGAAAGGAACAATGGCATGACTTGAGCGTATGTTATTGGTCGGGGAACGTTCGATTCGCGAGACGGACTGATAATTGCCGAATCGATAGTAACGTTTTATAACAAACCGATTTTTTTCTTCCCTTGGAACGGTCAGAATCAGAAAACCGGCATAAATACATGATCCCTATGCTAGAACGAGTATGCGTACATGCACAATCATAATGTAAAAATTAATGACTTATCTAGATCGAACAGTCAAAATATATAAATTATTTCGGACTAATCCCACGTTCGGTGAACGCTCTGTGCGAGAGTATGCGTCCGCCATTTTCTTCAAAAGGGCTCACCACATTGGCCGACTATATTTTATATTCATAACATTCAATTCGTTCTTATTTTTTTATTTTTAATAAATTTTTTCAATAACCCTTAGAATAAAAATTTCTCAACAAGTCTCAAAACATGATCTCGAGATCGTACCGGCATGTACATTAATGGTGTTTATGTGCGTATATATATAAAAGATACGCACACATCTATACCAGATGGTCACAAAACCGAAGCTAGCGTTGCGAAATTGGTCAAAGATTTTATAGGAAATAAAAAGTGTTGTTCTACGTCATTCTCTTCCCTTTTTTGTAAATAGAAATAAAAAAGGAGTTTAAGACAGTACCAGAATCTATTTTACGCGAGAAAACAGTGTATGCCTCTCGGTTATTCGCGTCTGTATGTAAAGAAAGGAAGAAATTCACGTGCAGTGAGTTAATTGCACAATGCAGCGTTTACCAAGCGGTCATTAAGCGCTAATTATATAAGGACGCATCAAATGGAAAAATTTCAGTTATCGATACCCCGAATTTCATTGTCAGTGAACTGTGACAGCGATTCAGCATCAGAGAACCATGTGATTTCTGTCCAACTATTGAATGTAAACAATAACCTATACTCAAAGAATAATTATTTCCCTGAATGTACTGTATCTTTGTATTCGTTAGCCCATTAAAGAAACTATATCCTCTAAGACCTGTGGAATTATTTGACAATTCCTCAATTGCATTTTTCATCATTGAGAAAAGACGAAGTGAAATAAATTTTTTTCAAAAAATTAATTTGTCAGTGAATTTTGTAATAAATATACAAAACAGTGTGCAAAAGCACGGAAGGACCGTTTGACATGGCAGCCATCGTACGAAAAGCGCGCGTCCTGCGAGGATACAATGCTTTCCGGTGTTCGTGGACCGAAAGTGTCCACTTACACGCACTTACCCGCGTAGCTCTCGTCCACCTCCTCGTCTGACGCCATCCTGTTGAAACTGCTTCGAGTATTATTCTTGAAACACAGATACAATTAATATTCACTCACTTGATCAGACTTTTATGTGGAAAAACAGTACGGAAATGCAACATTAAACGTGTTTCATGAGCTCAGACGCGCTCTCGGTTCGGCGTGCCGTCACTTCGTCTCGTACGTGCACCGATGTGCACCTACTGCCACTACGCTTCTTCTCTCACGCGATTCGTCGGTTCTTCTCGGTTCTCCCCACCTTCACCCCCACCCCTCCGTGAGAGAGTTCGTTTCTACCGCCCCTTTACCTCTTCACGTCCCCCATCGTAACGCTACAGCGTGCTGAATGTATACGAATGGTCTATATGGTTGGCCTAAGTCTACCGTGTTGCATATATTTCTTTTTCTTCTTTTCTCCCCTCTACTGCTTGCAGATCCAGAGAAAATTCTTTTTAGTTTTTGGAAAAAGATTTCCTTTTTTCAATAGTAATGCTTTTTCTTTGTACTCGAATACTTTTTCTTCTTTTTCGGTTGCTACACTTAGAGGTGTTTTACATTTTCTATACCTACCTTAATACTGAAGCTACAAAAACAGTCAGAATGACTGGTTTATATTTCTGTATTTATAACGATGCAATTTCTAAAGCATGGCATTCCATGATTGTCTTTGAAATATGTGAATAGATATTTTTTCCTGCATTATACAGATTTTTATAGGTAGATATGTATTAATTACCGGTAAATATACCGCAAGCGAAATGCATCACTTTTGAAAAATTATTTGATATGTGTTGTAATTACAATTACACATCATCGATTTTTAAGTATAGAAAAATCCACCATTTTAAGTCAATGTAAATTACCAGAATTGCAACCTGTACATACCAGTATGCGTGTACGGATTTACGGTATGATTAATGGTCGAGTACTTACACATTTATATGCAATCACATATGTGTGCTCGTGTATCGACCTTTTCGATGGAGACAAGATGACTGAATGCAATCAATGCATGTTCCTTTTTTTCTTTTCTTAATTAAAACGATTCATCTTTACATTTTTTTTATGATATCGATCTTGCATGTTTAAATTGCTCACAAGTCGTTGAACGTCACAAGTAATCGACACCGCGAGAAAATTTGAATTAGGAAATTGATTATTATCGCTTGCCATTGTGATACATTAAGAAATAAATCGTGCTCGTGTCCACAGTACACGTGAGTGGGCACCAATCAAATACATACGATTCCTTATCTCATTTTATAAATTCTTCCACTCTCATATTCTATATCGCTTAAAATATAAATCTGCGTCAATTTTAAGATGTTTTCGATTTTCTATGAAATAAAATTGAGAATTAACGAAATATTTTGAGTAGGAAATTCCTTTAAAATTCCACAAAGAAATGCTTTATACCCTCATTAAATTGTTCTCTACAGGACAATTGCCTTAGCTTCGCCAGGTACAAGGAATTATTAGAGGATTTATTGTGAAATTGTTCCTAACGGTTATCGTTTCCGGGAGATCCTTGGTATAATAACATGTTCTTGTATTCGTTTTCATATACCTCTTTATTCATAATTACTAGAAATACGAATTATTACGTGTACCAACAAAGCACACGTTACAGAGAGATACGTATGTGTCGTATAACGTGAATGAAAATTTTTTTATTTATATGTCTCGGTACATAACAATCTATTTACAAATATGAGATACATATTATATTGTGAAGGCTTTTGTATACAAAAGGAAAAAGTAAGAAATAAGCATTTATAATACTCTTACATATAGTAGATTCCACTCTTGTTTCTAAGAATCATATATACGTAATACTAATTTTTTTAGATGACAAACAAGCTTTATGTATATCACTTAAAGAATACAATTTACAAAAAGATATAATAACTTGTCTTCAGGAATGGATAGAAACAATGCAATACTGTATGGAATGAATTAAGGCCATTGTATTTCAACAATGATTAACAATAGTTGAATCGTTAAAGATATTGTTCATACTTCAAGCATTCGAGATTGTTGAATTAAAAACTGCTTTCTTAGTAAATTAAATATGATAGAACTTTTGATTTTATGCGACGAACGAAACTTCATACTACATCCATCTTCTTTTTTGTATATATAGAAAATATTTCGACCTAGCATACATATGGTACATCTCTATGCATAACTAGATATATAATCCATCTGTGATGAATAAAGAAATGGATAATTATCAGAATTACTGGGAAAATTCTGATGAGTATCACCTATGCAATTGTTCATACAAATCGAAACAGATTTGCAAAGATAAAAAATTTGATGCAATGCTATTGTATAAAGGTATTTTTAAGTGAAATGTTATTTAATCTACTCAACCATAGTCAACACTGAGAGCACTGAGCCCCTTTTTCTTAATTGCTTCAGCTACAGCTCTCTCTAAAAAGTTCTCTTGCTGATCATTCTCATCTATTGTATCCAAGTCCCAGTCAAGTCTATTATATTCTTCTGAGCTCTTTGAGTTGCTCAGTCTCAATGAATCTGTAGATGTAGTAGCTACAGAATCTTCAAAGTTGCCAATACCTTGGATGCGATTCGAGGGGCAGGAACAATGCACATTAGTGTACTCATTATTGGTCCAATACCCTGGAGCTTTGTCACTGTAAAAAGCACTGGATTGAGAGACAATTTCTGCAGATTGAACTAGACCATGATTACGAATTGCCATCATAACTGCAGTATCTTCCATGTCATTTCCTCTGAACAACTGAAATCTAGATTCCTCCAGAGAATAGGAGGTTGATGTTCCCATAATATAATTCTCCAATACTTTGTTGATGGTGTTATCCACGTATCCCTTAGCCACCTGACAAGCTTGCCATCTTTTTAACTTTTCTCTGGCCAGCCTTTCCACCTCATCATATTCTATGTTCTCCGTTTCTTGTGTCATATCTTCCTTTTCATTTGAACTTTTATCCTACAAATTACACATTTTGTTTGAAGCATATACTTTGCATAATTAAAAGAATATTGTTTGTTAATAGCTCTAAATTAATATACCTTATTAAGGATGGAATTATTAATTTAAATTACACGATATAATTACCATATCCCAAGTGGTTTCGACGGCCTGAACAAGTCGTGTGCATTGTCGTTTAGGTGGAGCAGGTCTTTCATGATCATCCGTGTCTGATTCCTCGATATCTGTCGCCATTTTCTCAATTTTGCGTATAGCTATACTATTTTCTTTTTAAATAACTTGAACAGGCTTAAACGAATCGGTAAATGACAGTACTAAACAATCATTGAGAAATTACTTGGGACGACGTTGGAAAAATTCGCAGCAGCTAACTTCAACATTTTTCTCACAGAACAGTGATAAATATCAGTTGTACATTCGCTTGACTTTTAAAGCATCTTTACGTTTACAATTAAATACACCGTTTACGGCGTGAGTAACCAACAGCATAAAAATTGAATAGTAATCAAAAGTGAATGTCAAAATTCGAGGAAACAGATACCGCACACAATCAAATGGCAAGAATCGTTTTGACAGCTTCAAAATGGCTACTTTACCATTACGCTCTATATAAAATATAAATACAAGTTAATAAGAGATTTCTTGGATTCTCAACACCCGATTACAATTTTGAAAATATCATACATAAAATTGAATGTAATTATCCGAAATTCGAATTTAAATGAATCAATTTGGACGCAGTCTTGATTGCAATACTACGTTCTAAAATGGCGTAAACATGTGTTTGCAGTGTTCAAAGGGATTTTGACGTCTGAGTCTGTCAAGCATATCATTTTATTAATCAATTTCGGGAAATTCTTTTTGACATTTTCGTTGAGTACGTTTATTGGCATGGCAGTCTGTGGAGAGTATATTCGAAGTCAATTTCCTACGATAGATGATGATTTGTATCAATATGTGGAAGGTATATTTCTAGAAAATAACCTATAAATTACCAAACGTTCTGTTTCGACAAGTTTTTAAGTAACACAAATATTGTACTCCATAAAGGTATCTTAGATAGCTCAAAGGATGATTTTGAAGACGGTGATGAGGTATATGAAGCAATAGGAGAAGTGCTACACGAAGTTGCAGAAAAACCAGAGAATGAGGTTAGGTCTGTAAACGTGTTCATACTTGTCATTATACTGTAACAATATCGTTAATTTCATTGTTATCATGAACTGTATGACTAGGCCTTTTAGTATCAATTGACGATTATCAACTGCATTCATTTTTTGACATAATTATAATCTTACATAATTTTTGTCTTGGTTTCCAAGTTGTGATTTTTTATGCATAGGCAAATATGTGTAAAACTACTGGAAATGTTGAAAGGTAATTCAGACGACGGAAGCGTCGAAAGAAGAAAAAATGGGGTTAATAAAGTACTGAATGCACCTATTCATTTGGGAACCATGGCTGCTACTTTGGAAGCTCAAGTAGAACAAATAAAGAGTATATGGGTTACTACTAGAGATGATGCCATGGTAAAAATTTGCTTAACTCACTGATCAATCTATTTTGTAATATTAGGTCACAATTAAATCAAAGAATGTTGTACTGAACAGAAAGTGGATGCCAAGAAATTAGAAAAGGCAGAGGCGAAGTTACAACAGAAACAGGAGAAAAGAAGTAACACTGAATCTAGCGGGCGTGTGAATACTATAAGTCATGGTATAGATTCTGCAAGTGCAAGTCAGATGACAAGTAAAAAGGATAGTAGGATGGAGACCAAGGGCGGTGTAAATAAAACTCAGGATATTAGGATAGAAAACTTTGATGTAGCATATGGAGATAGAATATTATTGCAAGGAGCTGATTTAACACTTGCATTTGGTAGACGCTATGGCCTTATAGGTAGAAACGGACTCGGTAAAACTACGTTATTAAGAATGATATCTAGGTATTTAAAATCTTTTTGAAACTTCTTATGTTTTATTCAGCCTCTGATACCACTATTTAATATTAATTATTCCAGTAAACAACTAAGAATACCATCCCACATAAGGGTTTTACATGTAGAACAGGAAGTAGCTGGAGATGACACCTCTGCGCTCGAATCTGTATTGGAATGTGACCAAGAAAGAAGTATGTTGCTTAGCAAAGAAACAGAATTACAAGCAGCGATTGAGAAGGAAGGTGGTAAGGCGGGTGACGCGTTAGGTGAAGAATTAGCTAGAGTATATGAAGCAATGCAGTTAGCAGAAGTGGATAAAACACCAGCTAGAGCCAGTGCAATTTTATCAGGACTTGGATTCTCCGTCGAGAGACAATCGTGGCCAACTAAAGCCTTTTCTGGTGGTTGGAGAATGAGACTGGCGCTTGCAAGAGCACTATTCTCCAGGCCTGATCTCCTGTTACTCGATGAACCGACGAATATGCTTGATATTAAGGCAATCTTGTGGTTAGAGAAATATTTACAATCTTGGCCAACGACTTTACTTGTGGTTTCACACGATAGGAATTTCTTGGACACGGTATGGACTTTATATTTTTAAAGTAACAATCATGGAACTTAATTTTATGATATGTTTGATGATAGGTTCCCACTGATATACTATACTTGCGTGGACAGAAAATAGAAGCATATAGAGGTAATTATGAACAGTTTGCCAAAACTAAAGGAGAACGTGAGAGGAATCAGCAGAGAGAATACGAAGCTCAACAAGCTAAAAGAGCACACGTGCAGGAATTTATCGATCGGTTCAGATACAATGCAAATCGCGCTTCTAGTGTACAGAGTAAAATCAAGATGTTAGAAAAATTGTAAGTTTAGTGTATAATTTAAGGGACAAAGTTCGAAACATCTGATATATTAAAAATATTATTTCTAACAGGCCAGAACTTAAACCTATGGAAAAGGAAGGAGAAGTAACATTACGCTTCCCAGATGTTGAACCATTAAGTCCTCCAATATTACAACTCAACGAAGTCTCTTTCAGTTACACTGGAGGAAGCGATAATTCGTACATATTCAGCGGTGTGAACTTGACTGCCAGTTTGCAATCTCGCATTTGTATCGTTGGAGAGAATGGTGCCGGTAAAACTACACTCCTGAAGATCATAACAGGTTCATTGAGTCCCACACGAGGCACGGTGCATGTTCATAGGAATTTGAAGTTTGGATATTTCAGTCAACACCACGTAGATCAATTGGATATGCGTGTGTGCCCTGTAGAATTGTTGCAAAACCATTTTCCAGGTGTGAAGCAATTTAGAATTTGCATGTTAATGTTATCAATATCAGGGTGATTATATTTTCTGATGGATAATTTCAGGAAAGCCAATTGAAGAATATAGGAGAATGCTTGGAAGCTTTGGAATCAGTGGTAACTTGGCTCTACAGACTATCAACTCTTTGTCCGGTGGACAAAAATCAAGAGTCGCATTTGCATTAATGTGCGCCGCTATGCCAAATTTTTTAGTACTTGACGAACCAACTAATCACCTTGACATCGAGTCCATCGAGGCTCTAGGCAAAGCACTAAATATCTGCCAGGTAACATATTTTACTTGATTAGCTTTTTTCTTTTTACATTAAATTATGTTAATTCTTTTTTTTATTATAACAATTTTCCAGGCTGGAGTAATACTAGTTTCACATGACGAAAGATTAATTCGCATGGTGTGCACAGAATTATGGGTATGCGCAGAAGGTTCCGTTCGGTGTATCGAAGGAGGTTTTGACGAGTATCGTAGGATTATTGAAAAGGAACTCGAAGTATAAATATTGATTTAATTTAATTGCACTGTCATTTTTTGCATTGTCCCGAGAGATTAAGTTACCGATGTGAAAATTTCGAATTAATTTAAATAAATGTAAGAACAAACGAACATTTCCACTTATTCCGGGACAATAGACATTTTTTTGATTTATTTATCGACCCCGTCGAAAAGATTACATTACCTGTTTTAAACAAAAATTGTGTCCATTGTGAATGATATTTCATTGTCAACGTGAAATTGGCAAAATAGACTGAGTCTTCTTCGATTTACAACAAGTAGAATTAGGAAAGTTTCACATCGTTCAACTGCCAGCTACAATAAACTATATCTAAAAAGATTCTGATATTTAATATTGTACATTAGTTAATAATAAAAATTCGTTATT